ATAACCATTGGCTTGGAACTCTACATCGTATTATTCAAAATAGCGGACTACTTTCGTTTGCAAATATTTGTAACACTGTATTGCACAGTGTATCGGCGCCGAATAGGAAACGCAGCTTGAATGAGACGTAGCCATTAAGAAGCGTTGACTGAAGCGCAGTAGTGTTGCTTACTGACGCTGACAAAGCTGTGCACAGCATATACGGATGCGGATGCGCTCGTTGGGGCTATATAAGGCGAGTGATTGCTGGAGGCCTGCAGCTTCGCAGCACCATCCACATGACTGGTGTTGGTGCTACTATCCTACTCACCAGTGATGTTTTCGTACAGTCACACATAGAATTACCTTATTCCTTCGCTCTCTTCACCATTCATCACAAGTAGATCCGCTTGAATCGTATTAATGACTATGTTGCGGTCAGGATAAACCTTTGGCAGCCGGCGCGTTAGCGAAGGCGCATACCTTGTTCTACATATAATTAGAGGACGGTTCTTCCCCACCGGAATGCGAGCTTTTGATTTGCTGAAATCCTTAAACTCGGGAAATGCCGCTTCGCGCGGCGGCAGCCTTGCTTGACCCTCTGGCTCTGGTTGGGAGAGCGAGAAATACTACGACCCTGTGGCTAATAGTGGAATACATCAACATTTTTCTGAGTATATAACACGAGTCCCAGTTCACTCCAACTTTTCATTCGGAACCATGTTTTTGGACCCCTGAATAGGGCTATGTAGCCATGCATCCATCACGGATCATAGTAGTCATCCGTCAATCTAGATTGATCCTTCTCCTGATATTATCTTGAAACTCCAGGCAGTGTTTGCAAAGACTGAGATGCTTGCAGAGGCTTGTAGATGATGTTAACATCTCTAACATTGGTTGTTCAAGGAGGGCCAAATAACCACTGGCATTTCTGGTGCAGGATGGACGTCCATAAATATTTGTATACGATGTAGGGTTCTGGACTGCACAACAGATATCCACGGGCACTGTGTCTACTCGTGTTCGAGTTTTCGTTTCCAGTACAATGGGATGGCGATTCCCATCGAGCAGCATGGTAAGGCAAGATCCCCAAGTGCCGTAGCGCAGCGAGGCTGCCTTGTGTTATCTAATCTCCACACAGAAATGCAAACTCTGAGGTAAAAGTTTAGCTTTTCACCAACTTTTCGCACAGCAATAGATGGGTGAAAAAGGCTTTCATCTGTCCGCCTTCTTCAATCACTTTTCGTAACAGAAAAATCACAGTTTGTCTGCAGTGTCTCCCAGTCCAGATGCGAAGGCCCCCAGGCCTGTTACCGTTTCGGGTACGCGTCTCGGGAGACTGGTCACGAGTCTAGGAACTTATGTCTTCTGAGTCCTGCTTTTGTACGGCTCGCTTTTTTGACTCACGAGTGTAAAATACTCCTACAACACGGAAAATGAAGTATAACAAAATAAAAGTTGCCCGTAAACCTCAGCGAGTTTATCCAGAACAACTCTCTCGTGCTTCTTTAGTGCCCATGGTGAATTTCATTCATCATGCAACATGATAGTATACTGCAGACTCTAAATGGACCCTGTACACGTATATAGTGTCTAATGATTGAGTGATTAGGTACTAGGTCTTCCCAAGCCTTGGCTTACGGCTTCATCTGTTCAGTGTTATGACCTCTACCCCGCTTTCGTAATTCTATTGGGTCATAGCATTCACAAGGCTCTCATTCTCTCACTCTCTCATGCCGACGCTAGACTATACAATCGCACTAACACGCTTGCACTAACCCAACAAACCCGGAGACTGGTGCTCTGAGATGCTGGATCTCTTTCTATCTTGTGGTCATCAGCAAGGCAAAAGCTGGGGCCAAGATGCAGGCTGATGACCGGGTTTGCTGCTGGAAAGCTCGTCGAGGCAGCGCAATTCTTATATACTGCAACGGACGCTTCAAAACCCTTATGGATGTGCATGCGTTTATCAACTTTGATCAATAAGATGTTACTGCGCATCAGCCAGCACACAGCAACTGCTGCGACGGAGTCAAGACATTCTTGCTGCGCCACAAACAACATCAAGCCAGACACAAACATTGTCAAACGAAAAGCCGACGTTTCTTTAATATATGGTTAATATCCTCTATTCTTCTCTATCCCGTGTCACCATACCTCACTACCTTGCGGACTGTATCTCAAAAACACGCATGTTTTTTTCTATGCACCTTCCAAATTCTCCTACACTATGCATCCAGCATAATTTATATCAACATGCTGTAGGAATTTTGCCGTGACATACTAATGTCATATTGACATCACTGCGTCCGTTCCCGGTACTCTGTGTCCCCCAGTAAAGGGTGACACTGATGAGCGGATGCGTTTCACCCGGCATCCTGCTGTTGCATTTTGCATTTGATTGTATTGCAACCTCAATGTAGACTTAGCCACACATTTATCGTAGTGGTGCGAAGTGTAGCTTCTATCTTTACCGGCTCAACATTCATTCTTGCTTATTCTTGCTTATGTGTGGAAAAAGAATGAGGGTTAAGGTCAGAGGGCCATATTGTCAACCTTCCTTCAACCCATGAGCCGGAGTGGAGTAAAGGCATGTCTTGTATATATTCAAAAGTTCTGCCCGGTTTGCTTGGTTTTTTTGTTTGTGCTCTTTAGATCCATCTCAGATCAGATTCGTTCTTGATTTGGACGTCTTCATCCTTTTGAGGCCGTCTTGCTGATAAGATAATAAACCTTGGGCAAGTGTTGTTGTCGCTGCATCCTTTCTGTCCCTCCTCCCTGTTTCTTCGTTGCGGATCCTCACAGAATTGGTACGTAGCTCAAGCCCTCTATGGTAAACATTTATTCCAGCCTAGACTGTGCACACAGGCTCACCCTCACCCAATTGGTCCCCGCATCCGTCAGTAACTTCCGGCGCGCCAATGTCTCTCCCTCAGATCGCGCCGTGTGGGTGTGATGGCTAGCAACGGCCATCCGGCGTCGTCACGATTTCATCGAGTTTACTGTGTAATCAGGTTTAAATGAGTTTTAACAAGTCTAATCAAGCTGCCAGTGAGCATCGCCGACGCACGCGTCCGCGCAGCTCCCTGGGCCTCGACGAGTTCTCCCCCTCTCGATTTGTTTCGTTTGCGCGGCCGCTGGGATGGTTGAGCTCCTGTCTCCCTCATGCTGAAGATGCCATGCTCTCCTGCGTCAGGCCAGGGCTCGCATCGAACCACTGGTCCGTGCACATGAGCTCGTCTTTTATCGGAGACGGTGAGACCGGTCGCTCTCCTCCTTCCTGTCAGGTAGGCATACGAGCTCTTCGTGCACTCGCACTTGAAGCTCGACCGGTCGCTCACCTTCGGGTCGCCACCTCGTTTTTTTGCCGTTTACTGACTAGCTACATCTCGTTTCCACTGCATACACGCCTCTCACTCGTACATTATCCAGTCTTCGGTCATCTCTACATGTACTTGTATTTCCGTGTACGATCTATGACCGTTTCCGGACTCCTGGTTTGTTTCGGGAACCGCGGAGCCTCTACCTCTTGGGTGAGTGAGACTCAACCGCCCGCTGCAAGTTTGAATAGACTTGGTTTTCACAAATCTAATCACTACTGTCGGCCTGCGTTCCTGACGCACGCGCTACATCTTCTCGGCCCACATGTCTTAAATAGCTTGGGTTTCGGTCATGTGTTGTATGTAGTTCCTCATATAATCCATTGCAAAACCGGACATCTACGCGACACTTAACGTGTGCACATCCATCCTTGCGACTGTGAATCTGCTCACAATACCCTGAAGATGTATTTAGTGGATCTTCAGCAAGTAGAAAGCTGCCAACTAGTTGGCGATACAGAGGGCTGAGTTACACTGGGTACTATGATTTAGACTAATTAGGCAAATTTACAGCTGCAGTCTATGCAGTCCTGACCATCCGACGGTCTCGGCCCGGTGGATGGCTTGGCGGATGGTCAGAACCCCCGACGGCCTCGGCGTAGTGGACGTCAGCCCACGGTCTTGCTGTGTCGGCGGGGCGGTCCTGGGCAACATGTCGGCTGGGCTGATACTACTACTATAAATATGTCAAATGCATTCAATGGTAATATGATGTGTTATATGTCGAGATGGGGGAGGTGATCGCGGTATAGTAAATTCCTCCGCTTGAGCTAGCGGGCAACCGCAAACCTTCAGATTATCCCTATCGGGCGGGCCCCCGGGGAGACCTATTCTTTGTGGAGTCCAGCCGTCGGATGAGCCCGGCGTGGGCCGCTATTAATGTGCGTTAGATGTAATAAATACATTAGTACCCATGCTACAAGTGTTGCTCGACCCCTAGGGGCCGATTGGATGGGTCCCCGCTAGATCAAGGCATTGGTGCTGCCCACCTG